TCCTACAAGGATTTCCTGAGAATAGAGTTGCGTTGCACATATGCCAACTGACATTCATAAATGTAGGGTTTTTACTGTTTACAAACAGTAGATTAATATTTTGTACGTAAAGCACAGACACAAATTCCATAGACAGTGCTTAGATGGTTTGTGACACTTTTAAATCAGTAACTATAAAACCTTTAACTGAACTGGGCCAGTCCAGGAGATATCAAAACTGACAAGTTTAAATGAGTTCATAAATATATGAATAAAGTTCAGCATGACAGCAGAGACATCCTGACAAGTTCCAAACTGCTGACTGAGTAGAGAAGGATCCACTTGCAGATCCTTCCGTAATTTGTTAAAAAAGGAAATGGCGATGTTCTTTATACTCACTTTTTCATATTTATTTTAATAATAAACTCTATCTGTATTCTTCAGTTCAACAGTCTGGAACAGCTATGCATCAACTTCACCAATGAGAAACTGCAACAGTTTTTCAACCACCACATGTTCGTGCTGGAACAGGAAGAGTACAAGAAGGAAGGAATTGACTGGGAGTTCATTGACTTTGGGATGGACTTGGCTGCCTGCATTGAGCTCATTGAGAAGGTATCTTCTAATTCACAATGTCTAATACAAAAGAATCATAAAATCATAGCATTATAGAATTATAGAAAGATAGAATGTCTTGAGCCAGAAGGCAAGCCAGAATGAAATTTTTTTTTCACTTTCCTTCTCCTCACTGCTTTCTTTCTTCATGTATTCATATTTCTCCCAGCCCATGGGCATCTTCTCCATCCTGGAAGAGGAGTGCATGTTCCCCAAGGCAACTGACACCTCTTTCAAGAACAAGCTCTATGACCAGCATCTGGGCAAGTCCAACAACTTCCAGAAACCTAAACCTGGCAAAGGCAAGGCTGAGGCCCACTTCTCCTTGGTGCACTATGCTGGCACAGTGGACTACAATATCTCTGGCTGGCTTGACAAGAACAAGGACCCCCTGAACGAAACTGTCGTGGGGCTGTACCAGAAATCATCCCTGAAGACATTAGCCTTACTGTTTGCCTCTGCTGGCGGAGAAGCGGGTCAGTCCTTTGAAATTCTTTTTTTCTTATTTAGCAACTCTGATAACAGTGAATATCAGTAGAATGTTCTTCAGAAATTGCATTTTGTGCAGGGTCTTCCATGATTGGAGTTTATATTTCCTTTATAAAGGAAAACCAATGAATCTGTCTCAGACACCCACTCAGCCATGATAATCCTGAAGATCCTCTGTTCTTTTAGTATGAATGTTTTCTCTATTTCCTGCCTCATCCTAGTTTCCTTTCTTAGTTTGATCTTTATATGTGACCAAGATTCTTGCAGTTTTACACTGAAAAATTCTACAGCTCAAAGTTCTAATACCTTCTTATTTGGCTATTCTTCAGAGAGTGGTGGTGGTGGCAAGAAGGGAGGCAAGAAGAAGGGTTCTTCTTTCCAGACTGTATCAGCCCTTTTCAGGGTAAGTACAGACGTAATTATCTCTTGATTTTTCTCTTTCTTCTTCTTGAAGATTCTGACATTCCAAGTTAAATTCCATAAGGCATTTTACTGAACCAGTTAACATTTTTCTTTGTATCAAAAACATCTTTTTCATGAAAGGGCTAACTTCACCAGATGAGGCTAGGGGAAAGATAAATATTGATTTAGTCCTTCCTTGAACATCAGAAAAAGTAGCCTAGGTCAGGCTACAGTTTCATTTATATGCACGTGGGTTAGCAGAACTAAGCTTCTTCCGTCCTGGAATGACAATGGTGGATATGGATGTCTGCCTGAAAGAGTATCTAGTTTGGATCTGCACATACTTTTGCAAACGGCTATACACATGAAGTCAAAGCAACAGGGAAACACCAACACCAGCTATCACCTCTCCAGAGAGTAAGGCAGATGGAAACATCCTTATTTGAACACTAGATATGATCTGGCATCCTGTACAGTTTTTTATACTGAGTAAAATATGTGTATCTCTGAACAGCTTTGCCATCACTCCAAACCAGAACTTCAAGACTAAAAACTATTAAAAAACTCAAATTGGTGTGGTTCTACATGAGAATATCAAGTCCATTATTCCTATACAACAGCTCCAGTTTCTCACAAAACTGCAGAGGTAACATTTGTTAATAAAAAACCTTTGTTCTTGCTTCTACAGGAGAACCTGAACAAGCTGATGACCAATCTACGGAGCACTCACCCCCATTTTGTGCGCTGTATTATCCCCAATGAAACAAAAACTCCTGGTAAAAACCTGAAGTAGAGATAAATCTTATCGTGATGCAACCATTATTCTCTATGCTTTATAATGAAATACCAAATAATTATCTCATTTGGTTAGGTGCCATGGAGCATGAACTGGTGCTGCATCAGCTGCGTTGTAATGGTGTGCTAGAAGGAATCAGAATTTGCAGAAAGGGATTCCCCAGCAGAATCCTCTATGCAGACTTCAAACAGAGGTCAGACTCTTTCCTGTTTTCCATTGAAACTTCACTGCTTAAGTGCACTTTTTAACTACTTAAGATTGATGGTTATTTTGAATTCCAAAACTACCTAGTTAAATCTAAAACAAAGGAAAATTGCTGGAATGTATAACCCAAACCAACATTTATGTCCAGCATAACAATTTCTAGGAGAAACTGTTGAGAAATAAAGGGCTCATCAGATGTCATCACTGACTTTTATTCATCAAAAAATCAAGTTTTGCCAAAGTGTCTGACTATGAAAATAAACTAGAGCTACAAAAGCTTATGCTCACAAGATTAAAAAAATGAAGATTGAAACCTGGATGCAAAAAATTCTTATGCAGGAATTACAAACTCAGAATGCTTTAGACACTGTATCATCTGATAGTTTCAGGGAATAATAATTTCTTACCACTCACACAGTGGCAATGTTCCTGTCTAGCAAATTTATATTTAAAAACAACAACAAAACTTGAGAAACAAAAATAACAGAATGCAATAGTTGGAGATCAGCATTCTATTTACACCTAGACTTTAAAACTTACTTTTATTTTGTTGTTGAATTTGGACTTAATAATTAATGTTATCTATAAAAAGGGATGGAATGCCACAGGCTCATTCTGCAGCAAAGAATATCATTAATTTCAATAAAACAGCATAACCTACAACTTGAGGTTACATTAAATCATATCTTCTTTCATTCCTCAGATACAAGGTGCTTAATGCCAGTGCCATCCCTGAGGGACAGTTCATTGACAGCAAGAAAGCTTCCGAGAAACTCCTTGGGTCAATTGATGTGGACCACACCCAGTACAAATTTGGTCACACCAAGGTACCAACTCTCCTCAACTCAGTCCCTGTATCTGTGTTTTGTTCTCTCTGACAGTGATGCACTGCAATGTTCTGTTTCTCCAGGTGTTCTTCAAAGCTGGGCTGCTGGGACTCCTGGAGGAGATGAGGGATGAGAAGCTGGCACAGCTCATCACTCGCACACAGGCCAGGTGCAGGGGCTTCCTGATGAGAGTGGAGTACCAGAGAATGGTGGAGAGGAGGTAGGTGTTCCCCATCTTCACTTAAAGGCACTGTATTTGAATAAAAGTGTTACCACTCATCACACTCAAAATATTCAGCGCACATTTTAATTATGCTTCAGAGAGTCCATCTTCTGCATCCAGTACAACGTTCGTGCATTCATGAATGTCAAGCACTGGCCCTGGATGAAGCTGTTCTTCAAGATCAAGCCCCTGCTGAAGAGTGCAGAGTCTGAGAAGGAGATGGCCAACATGAAGGAAGAGTTTGAGAAGACCAAGGAAGAGCTTGCAAAGTCTGAGGCCAAGAGGAAGGAGCTGGAGGAGAAAATGGTGTCCCTGCTCCAGGAGAAAAACGATCTGCAGCTCCAAGTGCAGGCTGTGAGTATTATTTACTCAAGGGGGAAAACAAGCAAAGTTTAAGTTCTCTTTCACAGTACAGAATCCCCCATCTGCAAACAAAACTGCCTTAAAACTACTGTAACCTGAATCACTAAAGGTAATATTCATTGTCACCATTATAATATGGAGTTCCGGCTTGGGAAGAATTCTGTAAGTCTCAGATCCTGTAGCTATGTTACTCCGTGTAAGTTCACATTATAAGTCCCAGATGTAGAAAATAGTGAATAGGTTTATACAGATAATGGAGAGAGATTAGAGTTGATGACAAAGTCTGTCTTTTATCAGTTGTAAAAAAAAAAAAGAGCCTTGTGACATTTCTTATGATATGTGGTATCTCACATGTATTCCTGCAGCTACTACTACTCCAGAAAGACACAAATACCCTCTACATCCAAATACAACTGACAGCCCATACAATATTTACAGTCTCCTTTTGCGTATCAAAAGTTTTGGCAACATTTGGCAATTTTTTGAGCATTAAAGAGTCTACTTCAGAGCTTCAGAATACAGTCAGATTCAAGTGGCCGCCTACAATTACATCTAGATTATGTACTGCTTTACCAAATTCAAATTCAGTTATGCCAGCAAAACCCTTCACAAACATAAAACAAGAAGATTTCTGTACAATTATACCCACTTATAAATTTTCAAGCAAAAGAAACAAAGACCGCAGTAGAAAATGATTTTTTATATATTTCTAAATCTTATTTATAAATACAACAAGAGGAGACCTGAGGATGAAATAGAACTAAAAAAAAATTCTGACTAAAAAAAAAAAAACACATTTCCTACAAGATAAAAAAAATAGAAATTCCATGACTTCTTTTTCAAAATGACTCCCTTTCTATTCCAAGCCTGCTAAAATTTGGAAATAGAAAAAAATGACTATCTTTTCCCTCAGGAAGCAGATGCCTTGGCTGATGCTGAAGAAAGATGTGACCAGCTCATCAAAACCAAAATCCAGCTGGAAGCCAAAATTAAGGAAGTGACAGAACGGGCTGAGGATGAGGAGGAAATTAATGCCGAGCTGACAGCCAAGAAGAGGAAACTAGAGGATGAATGCTCAGAGCTGAAGAAAGATATAGATGACCTGGAGTTAACGTTGGCCAAGGTTGAGAAGGAAAAGCATGCCACTGAAAACAAGGTACGAGGCAGAAGTTGTTGCTCACACTCCAATAAAGAACATTTTGTGTTTTTGTGCTTTTGGAATTACAGAATGTCTTGAGTTGGAAAAGACTCAAGAGGGTTGTAAGTCCAAATGTTACAGGAGTCTTGAACCTACTTGCTTTAATTATACTTGCTCCCTTCTTCTGAAAGGTGAAAAACCTTACAGAGGAAATGGCAGCCCTGGATGAGAACATTGCCAAGCTGACAAAAGAGAAGAAAGCCCTCCAAGAGGCCCATCAGCAGACACTGGATGACCTGCAGGCTGAAGAGGACAAAGTCAATACGCTGACCAAAGCTAAAACCAAGCTGGAGCAGCAAGTGGATGATGTAAGAACAAAAGCATATGGCTATTATATATGGCTATTATATATATGAACATGGCTGGCAGAGCACTGATGATCCCATTCTGTTTAGCTGGAAGGGTCCCTGGAGCAAGAGAAGAAGCTGCGCATGGACCTTGAGAGAGCAAAGAGGAAACTTGAAGGAGACCTGAAGTTATCCCATGATAGCATAATGGATTTGGAAAATGATAAGCAGCAGCTGGATGAGAAACTGAAGAAGTAAGTGAGGTTGTGGGACACCTGAGTGCTGGGCAGGTGCACGTAGGAGGTTTTGTTCAGGTGTTAACACAGTTTGTTTTGTGCAAAAGGAAAGACTTTGAAATCAGCCAAATCCAGAGCAAAATTGAGGATGAGCAAGCCCTGGGCATGCAGTTGCAGAAGAAGATCAAGGAGCTGCAGGCAAGTCTCTGGTCCTTCCCTTCTGGCCTTCAGAAAACATCTGAAGGAGAAGGACATGGGTGTGAAGGGTCCCTGATGCTCCCCAGGCCCGTATTGAGGAACTGGAGGAGGAAATCGAGGCAGAGCGAACCTCTCGGGCCAAAGCAGAGAAGCACCGAGCTGACCTCTCCAGGGAGCTGGAGGAGATCAGTGAGCGCCTGGAGGAAGCAGGAGGGGCTACGGCAGCTCAGATCGATATGAACAAGAAGCGTGAGGCAGAATTTCAGAAGATGCGCCGTGACCTGGAAGAGGCCACGCTGCAGCACGAAGCCACGGCTGCCGCCCTGCGGAAGAAGCATGCGGACAGCACAGCGGAGCTTGGGGAGCAGATCGACAACCTGCAACGAGTCAAGCAGAAGCTGGAGAAGGAGAAGAGTGAGCTGAAGATGGAGATTGATGACTTGGCCAGCAACATGGAGTCTGTCTCCAAAGCCAAGGTACAGCAATACCTTATAGGTTTGTTGCTTCATTGGAATTCTGTGGAATTCCACCTCCTTGTGGGAAGTGTGAACTGCTAATTCTCTTTCTGTATGCTGACATATAGGCAAGTCTGGAGAAGACATGCCGAGCATTGGAAGATCAGCTGAGTGAGATTAAGACAAAAGAAGAGGAGCATCAACGGATGATCAATGATATTAATGCTCAAAGAGCTCGTCTACATACAGAATCAGGTAAGACTGTCACGTTTCCTTTATGTCAATGAACAATGACTGAGTTGAGTCTGTTCCATTTAAAGTAGAGGAGACACAGAGAGGATCACAGAGAGCAATTTAATCTAGGGAGCTCTCTTCAAGATCGGGTTAGACCACACGACATCTGAAAGCCCTTTCCAACCTAAAATCATCATGTGTTTCTGTGATTAACTTAGTGTATAATTTACCTTATAATTTACATGAGGCCTGTTCAACAGAATTGCCTCTCCTATAAGGAGAAATGTATGAATTAATATTATAATTTTTTGAAAGCAATGTATTTGAAATATACTGTCTTAAAGCCCAGTCCTAATCGTCCACAACACTGTCATCAGTGGCAATTAAAGGCCTAAGTATCTGCAAACTTTCCCAGGTGAATATTCACGCCAGGTGGAGGAGAAAGATGCTCTGATTTCTCAGCTGTCTCGAGGCAAGCAGGCATTCACCCAGCAGATTGAGGAACTCAAGAGGCATTTAGAGGAGGAGATAAAGGTGAGGAGGTTATACAAAATTTTGTTTTATCCAGTGCATCCCCCTTACCAAAAGGTGCTGCAGACATACTAGATTACAGAAAAATTGTGTTGAGAGAGAAAAAAATGTTAGTTAATTCAGCACAAGTTGTTTTCTTCCTGATATCTGCCACCTATCCTTGGAAGATATTGCAAATTCCCAACTATTCATTCCTCATTCTATATACTGCCCTTATTTTCATGAAAATAATTATTAAGAGTCCAATAGCTTATCAGTCAGAACACTTTCCAGGAGATTTCTATTCTTCATCATCCTACAACTTCTCTCCACAGGCCAAGAACGCTCTGGCCCATGGCTTGCAGTCTGCCCGCCATGACTGTGACTTGCTCCGGGAACAATATGAGGAGGAGCAGGAAGCCAAGGGTGAGCTGCAGCGTGCCCTGTCCAAGGCCAACAGCGAAGTGGCCCAGTGGAGAACCAAATATGAGACAGACGCTATTCAGCGCACAGAGGAGCTGGAGGAGGCCAAGTATGTGGAGGGAAAGTGGGGATGGCTGACAGAAACTAATAATGGAAAATTGAAGAGGGCACTGTAATGTACTGGCTGTAATATACTGGCTGCACACCACTGCTTCCTATGAACCTGAGAATTTGCTTTCTCAACGGAAATTGTGCTTACAACCTCCCAGGAAGAAGCTGGCACAGCGCCTGCAGGAGGCAGAGGAACACGTTGAAGCCGTGAACTCCAAATGTGCTTCCCTGGAAAAGACAAAGCAGAGGCTGCAGAATGAGGTGGAGGACCTCATGATTGACGTGGAGCGAGCAAATGCTGCCTGCGCAGCTCTGGACAAGAAGCAGAAGAACTTTGACAAGGTATTCTGGGCTCCAGGCCTGTGTTTCCTGGGCACACAATGATTGTCGCATCCAAACTCACAATCTGTTTTTCCTCAGATCCTATCAGAGTGGAAGCAGAAGTACGAGGAAACGCAGGCTGAGCTGGAGGCCTCCCAGAAGGAGTCTCGCTCCCTCAGCACAGAGCTGTTCAAGATGAAGAATGCCTATGAGGAGTCCCTGGACCACCTGGAAACGCTGAAGCGTGAGAACAAGAACTTGCACCGTAAGTACACAGGCCTCTGCTCTCAGCAGGGCTTTTTCTCAACTGTGTCTGTCCACCTCTCCACGTTTGTTTGCCTGAAGATCTACAAAGATGTCTTTGCCTTAATGTGCAAGGGCTATTCCTTTTTTTTGTGCCTGGTGTATTACAATATAACTTTGCTCACACAGAGGAGATTTCTGACCTCACGGAGCAGATTGCAGAGGGAGGAAAAGCAGTTCATGAGCTGGAGAAAGTCAAGAAGCAGATTGAGCAGGAGAAATCTGAACTTCAAGCCTCTCTAGAGGAAGCAGAAGTAAATCTTCATTTCATAAATTTTTGTATACAAAATACATTGAGCATCATTGTATCATTATATATTGATACACGGGAAGCCTTTGTTTTCCTTTGCCAATTAGACATGATGGTATATTAAATTCTTCAGCAGAACAGTTTATGTAAACTTACTGATATTGTCAATTATATAATTAATTGATAGGCCTCCCTGGAACACGAAGAAGGCAAGATCCTGCGCCTCCAACTGGAGCTCAACCAGGTCAAATCTGAGATTGACAGAAAGATAGCTGAAAAAGATGAGGAAATTGACCAGCTGAAGAGAAACCACCTCAGAATTGTAGAGTCCATGCAGAGCACCTTGGATTCTGAGATCAGAAGCAGGAATGAAGCCCTGAGACTGAAGAAGAAGATGGAGGGAGATCTGAATGAAATGGAGATCCAGCTCAATCATGCCAACCGCATGGCTGCAGAAGCACAAAGGAACCTGAGAAACACACAAGGAGTGCTCAAGGTATGTAAAAACTAAAGATGTACTGATTGATTTCTCACAGAGGTAAAAATGTTCTTGTATTCAATTTTATCAGTTCTAGCCTGATGAGAAAACAGCAAAACAGGAAAAATGTGCCTCACAGTGTCTCATATCTCCAACCAGGATACCCAGATACATTTGGACGATGCTCTCAGGTCACAGGAGGACCTGAAGGAGCAGGTGGCCATGGTGGAGCGCAGAGCAAACCTGCTGCAGGCTGAGGTTGAGGAGCTGCGGGCAGCCCTGGAGCAGACGGAGCGCTCGAGGAAAGTGGCTGAGCAGGAGCTTCTGGATGCAAGCGAGCGTGTGCAGCTCCTCCATACCCAGGTCTGTTTATAAATGTAATAAATGTTCATATATTTGCTCCATACAAAGAAAATAACTAAGGACTGCTTGAACATAAATAGCATTTAGTAAATTACATATTATAATGTTTAAAGTACAAGTAAGAAGTAGTAAAAGTGAGTTTTTGTCTGCAGATACAGCAGGGAGCTGTAGTATTAGGCTACAGTAGAAATATTTGAAAATTAATCTTTTAACATAATCACTGTAAGTATTCTGTAGATTGGGCTCAATTGCTTTCGGCAAGTAGACTGAAAGTAATAAGAGAAGGTTATGTTGTTTTTCTTGGCATGTATAAATTCCCTCTTTGTTGACTCACAAACTGTAGGAAAAGTTTTATGGAGTACATTCTATAATATTGAAGCGAATCACAGCCACAGGAAAATGAAAATCTACCCCAGACACTCCATTAGAACAGCATTCCATGAGACCTAATGGTACTATTTTGCAGTGTTCTGAATTTGATATAAGGTAATGGAAGCAAAATGTTGATGCTCTTCAGCAGAACACATAAGATAATCAACACCAGGATGAAACTGGAAACATTTGGCAAATTCAGAGTCAAATGCGAGAAACAGTTCTAGAGAACTCACATAATTATGAGACCCATTTTCATTTTTTATGAGTATATCCCATGGCTCTTCAGACATCTTCTACTACAACTACTTATGGGAGATTCTTCATATAAATATGAAGAGAACTCTATATAAAAGTGGGTAAATTGTTTTTTACTAAATACAGTGTATTAAATCTGCTGGAGAAAACACAGTATACTTTTTCTACAACAGAACAC